TTTTCCTTATCAGGTTCTCAAATTCCAGCTATTCTCTCTAACTTCAGTTCCTCCAATGAACAAAGGTCAATGTCTCTTTGTATTCTCTGGAAATGTGTATATATTTATTTGTATTTGCGTAAGTGCCGATTGGAATTTGTATTAAATTGATGATCAATGGCGTGCTAAGATATTTGGCGACCAAGATGATCGGCTTGTATCGGACGACTCTGATCTCATTACAATCTCCAATAAGCTGCGGTTGGTGTCACTCAACGGAGAAGGCAAAGAAGAAGAAAAGAGAAAAGAAGGAAAAAATTCGGAATTAGAGAAATCCGACGAAGAATTCGCTCGGATGTTGCAGGTTCTCTGCTAGAATTTGAGGCATTTTGTTTTCTTGTGTTAATGGTTTTCTTTGTTTTTCTTATAAACAATTGGTTTTCTGTAGGCAGAGGAAGAAGCACTTTTGTTTCAGCAGTTCTCTGCCAGTAACGATGAGGGACAAATGGAGAAGAAAATACGGCCTTATGTTGATCAGGTCCTAATGGTAATTGTTAAAATCACGATCTTTTTCTCATCTGATGATTTTCTGTGTATTATTGTAAATCTCCGTATATTTTGTGAGAATGCGGGGTGAAAGAAAAAAAAGCATGAAGGAATTTTTTATTTTCTTTGTTACTTTGTTCTGAGAAGTTGAGCCAGATGGCCTGCTAAGTGGTAATGTTGTTTGGTTGGTTCTATTACCAAAAACTTGGTATATTTTTTTCAAGCATTTGGCTAACCAACATAAAACATTTTATTTCCAAAAACTTGAAATCACTTATTAAGCATTTTCTGGTAGCCAAATATATTGGGCTTGGTTTTGGTTTATAAAGTACAAGGAAGAAAAATGTTGATATTAACTTGACATGGTACTGGTTTAGTATGAAGACTCACATCGTCAGGAGGCTGCTCGGAATACAGTGCCTGTGGAGAAACTTGAGGAGAAGGCATTAGTTGCATTGGCAAAGGTTGGACCCTGAACTCTGCCATCAGATACTGTGCATTTATACTGCCTGTTAAAGATTGAGGGATTCTATTCTTTTTTTCTTTTGTTTTTCCCGCTTAAAGGAAGATGTGAAAGGGGAAAGTAAACAACTTAAAGGATTTACCCATGAAGGCTATAGCAAGAAAAAGAAAGAGAGAAGGCTCGACAGATAATACTAATGTCCTTAGAAAGAAATTTCAGTTAGTGACTTGAAGTTGACATGGAATTAGTTGTTGGATTAAGCAGGTTTGACTTTTTCAGTTAAATTTTGTCAGGAATTTGGCGGGGTGGACCCCATAGGAGTAGGTTCTTGAGATGAATATATTGATTGCCAATATAGTTTGAGATGAATATATTATTTGATTGCCAAATATGGTTATCATGGATGTAATCCTAGAAATATATATGAATTGTTGACTGTTATATTCATACATACGAACATGTTGAAATGTCAATTCAGTTAATGAATGAATATTAAAAAAATGGCTTACACTAGTTGTTTAAGTGTCATTGTTTTGTTCTTCTTGTTGTCGTTGCAGCTTTACAGGATGAGTGAAATAAAATTTCATATGGACATCGCAAAGGTATTAGGATTGTAGATATCCTAAGCGTCTCATAGACCGGTGTTGGATGACCCGGAACGGGGCGGTTTGTGATCCAGATTGCTCTAATTCCCGACCTCAAGTTGCATCTCAAACCCCAAATGGACCCCTATGAAACTCTGATACTACGTTTAGGTCACCGTATCCATAAAAGTACCGTATCAGATATGATACTCATCGGATACTAGAGAATAATTATTGGATACACATTAAACTTATCAAATAATTAATAAAATATTTGTTTATTTTTTGATATGTGTTGGTTACACATCACACATATCCAATAATTAATAAAATATTTTTTTTTATAAAAATTTTTGGATACATCTTCGACATGAATATCAAACATGAATATGCTTTGGATATAAAAATGGATACAAACAATACATCTTTACCCTTTTCTTTCGAATTCACATAAAAAAAATTCATATGACATTTAAGACACTTGAATGTTTCTGAAATACTAGCAATGCACAACATGCCTTGCACATGAATATATTTACATAGTAATTTTTTATATGAAAAGTTTAAATTATATTTGTAATTAAATTGAATAATAAAAAGTGTGGAATAATTAATTCTTATTGTAATTATGGTTAAAACTAATTATTGATTTATTCCACCTCTCTTTGAGTACCTAATTTATTATTTTTTAGTTATCTCCCTGGCCCTTTTAGATGTTTCCTATTTCAATTATAATAGAGCTTTATTATAAGATTGTCATTCTTGAGTATTTGCACATCGAATTGAAATATAGATTTATTATATTTTTTTGTCAAAGAGATTGATTAAATTGTAATACTATTATTTGTGTTATAATATTATGATATTGTTGCAGACCGATATTGGACTTTACTTCTTCATATAAGTATAAATAGATATGGAAAACTGTACAAGTCTAAAAGATTTAGAAGTCAAATACTACTAATAAAAAAGTCTAAAAGAACTTGGAAGTCAAATAGTTGTATAAAATAAAAATTGGATGAAATTAATTTTATGGACATAATTGATTTTATAATAATAATTAGGGATAAAATAGAAAATCAAAAGTTATATATATTAATAAGTAATATAGATCATTTACTATCACATATAAAAAGTGCATAAGCTGAGTTAATTACATCCAATTTCTTGACAAGTACTTTTAATTAGCTACGTTCAATTTTATGGCTATACTAAGTTGAGATAATTTATGCTTATTTGAAAGCAAAAAAGTTGATTGTTTTATGAATTGCTGCCAAAAAATTTACTAAAAATCACAATTATCAAATCTCAATAGTAAACTATAAAATAAATTTTATTGTAGGTGTATCCTTATTATATCCATATCCTATTTTTTTGAAGTTTTATTGTATTGCTGTGTCCGTATTATATTGTATTGTACCCGTATCTCGTATTCATATTTGTGCTTTTTAGATGGATCCACAATCCAAAAAATTCTAAATTATAATTCTAACCCCAAATTGTAACACCAATTGCTATTTTCTTTATATTGGTGATCCTTAAACTTTATAGTTTGATTTGTTATAATTTGAATTTTTTTCAAAATACAAATATGCCACCACTAACGTTTATTGTTTACAACCAATAACCATTAGTCGGTACTCTGGACGTTTTCTTAGATTATAGTTCGCTTTGAAACTCTTATCAGAACATTAAATAAATACTAGATGATTATGTGTATATGGATAGGTAGCTGTATATAACTCCATACAATAGTGAAAGTGATACAAATAAGTTATTAATTGAATCAAGACATAAAAAAACAAATCATCTTAGTTTACATCAATTGCATTGCAAATTGGGAGAAATATCCTATATCTCCTTATCATGTACCAAAGTGACTTGCGATCCAGGCTATAGAGGATTATTGAAGTCTTCTAAGCAATTGCATGAATTCTTTTTTTGTTTGTCTGGGAATGTGGTGTCTGCCTTATCATTTTTTAGGTTGTTACTTATGAAGCACGAATACTTCGTTAAGTTTGACATATTGGTATCAGATATAATACTCGTCGGATATGTATTAGATACACACCAAACAAGTCCAAAAATAAATATCTATATGGAGAGAAGTATGTGTAATTTTTAGTTTTAATCTTTACTCCTTTCTTGTGATTTCACATACAATGCAATTCATCAACAAAAAATCATGACTCTGAAGACAATGCACAGGTGTTTTCCAAGTATTATCCATTATCATATGTTCGACAACTATAAATGAGTTGATTACTCTATAATCTTAGCAACAAATACTTCTAATCAAACAATCTGGTTAAATGTTGGTTCTTATTCCTTTAATAAATCACGTTCATTTTGGAGATGTACCATAGTGAGACGATAGGTAAGTTATCTTCGTCCACCTAAGCAGGTTTATATTGGCCATTCCATAAGACCCACAACAAAATGTTTTTGTTAGAAGATACTATTCAAACATTGTGCTTGTAAACATGATTTTAGATCATCCTGGTTGTCAACTACGTTAAGATGAAATGATGAGTGTATCAATGGTGTTCGAAAGATATGAGGATTACTAGTAACTGTAGCGTTTGAATGATACTTGAATAATCAGCTTGTAGTTGTATTTTATCTAAAATACTCATCATTTTATCTGTGTGGTGAATCAGTCTTTTGGGCAAATTCTAGACTTTGCTACTTCAGTTCTTGCCGAACGCCTCTGCCCATATTTTTAAACATCAATTTATCTATTTTTGTCACCACTTTCGCAAATTAGTTACCATCTGCATGTATGTATTGAGCCGAACGCCTCCATAGGTTATGCACATATTTCTAAACATCAATTTTATCTATTTTTCTCACCACTTTCGCAAATTAGTTACCATGTGCGTGTATGTATTGATGTGTCTGCTTTTAAGATTTTTTTGCTAAAAAAAAATAAAAATGTATTGATGTGTCATATTAAGATTGATTGAAGAAGAAAAAAATCTGTAGAGTTCATTTTGTAGGGCTTCAAGTAGTTTGTTGTTGCTGCATGTAAATAGTTTTACCTCTTGAATTTCTGTAAAATGGCTCAGCGATTTGCTGTTCTTATATCCTGCCTATCTATTTTTAGGAGGGAAACTTCAAACCATCAAAAAGTGAACAGGATCATGCTTTTCTTCTGCAGTTGCTTTTCTGGTTTAAGCAGTCATTCAGGTCTGTTTTTTCAGTCTCCTGTCCTTACCTCTGGGATTTCCCCTTATACTTGGTGGATGGATGTCTTGTTATATCTTTTAAAGAAAAAAATATGATATTCTTTCTGTGTTAAGTGTGTAGCAATAAAGGATTCCAGTCTATGGCAGTGTAGGCTTTTCTAGAAATATCTTTGATTAGAAAATACCATTTCCTGTAGATGATAGATGAGCCTACTGAGTTGAGTTCTAATAAGCACGCCAACTTAGCAAAGTAGAATTTAGATCTCCCGCTTTGTAATCTGTCAATATACTTCCTTTCTCCATAGACAACATGGTGAAACACATGCCTCAGAAAGAGGGCTCTCCCCTCAACCTCTTCATAGGGAATGAATATGAATTGGAATGGAGGTGCATGGAAGAATAATGAGTCGTTTGAAAAGATGAAGCTGTAGATTTATGAAGAACAGAAAGCCTATTAAAGAGGCTGTGTGTTATTATAATGCCCTTCTTATATTTTTAGAGTTGAGGAACCTCTTCATATATTTTTATCTTCTTGTTCCTGTTGTCCATTGGGAAATCCCTATGTTCTCGACATGTTGACATGCTTTTTCATGAATGGAGAAAGATTAAAGGCCCCTAGCTGTATCTTTCGCATAATTGTTTGTAACGTTTGAGTTACTCTTGAGAAGAACGTTTTTTCGATTCCACTACACAGCCTGTACCAAAAGTGACATTATCTCATCATTCACTGCATCACCTTACCTTCTGGAATTAATGATGCTGTCTTATAAGCTATTTCTAAGCTTACCATAGTCATGGAGGAAAAAGCAATTTGCCAAGGAGCGTGGGCAGTTTTTTAAAAGGTGAGTGACCAATTTGGACACATATTAGACGCCGCGGCGGCGGTGACACAATGGTGTTCAAGTGTTCTTCTCAACCACAAAAAACTGTCCAAATCCACATGATTCTTCATCAACCTCAAACACAAAAATCTTCTGATTAAGAATCTTCAAACAGAGGAAGTCATGAAATGACTAAAAGCAAAACAACTTTAGTTTTGGTAAGCAGATGACAAATTGCTCTCTAAACCCTGAACTTTTGAAATTCAAGTGTAGTTCACCTACATCTCTTCTCTCTCATATTTTAATACAAACTAAATTTTTTTATTACAACCTGGCAGTCAGTAACATTTTTAATACAAACTATAGTTAGTCAAAGCTGGCAGTCAGTAACACAACCCATACGGCAAAGCTGGCACAAGCTACAGTCAGTAAAATTTTCAATATTCAACTCAACTTAGCTAAGCTATACACAACTCACAAATTTTCAATACACAACCAGAAATGAAAAAAACCGAGATCTAAACTGAGATTAACAGAGAGGACAGGAGATCTACACCACAAAGCATCAAAAAAAAAATTACAACGTACAGATCTAAAC